CCAGCTGTTGAGTGATAAATCATCTCGTACATGTTACATCCACAGATCCTGGTGGCCCTCAGACATCTTCACTTCAAAAACATTGTCCACTGTGACCTGAAGCCCGAAAACGTTCTCCTGGCTTCAGCTGAACCCTTCCCTCAGGTTAGAACAGCTCAAAATGTTTGATGGGACTTCAGAGAGCTCAACAACACCTGTAATTACTGAAATGTCATCTGGAAGAACATTCACCTTTCTCTCCCCCCAGGTGAAGCTCTGTGACTTCGGCTTCGCTCGTATCATCGGGGAGAAGTCGTTCCGTCGCTCAGTGGTCGGCACTCCAGCCTATTTGGCACCAGAGGTGCTTCGCAGCAAAGGCTACAACAGATCTCTGGACATGTGGTCGGTCGGCGTCATCATCTACGTTAGCCTGAGCGGGACGTTTCCCTTCAACGAGGACGAGGACATCGACGACCAGATCAAGAACGCTGCCTTCATGTACCCATCCAACCCCTGGAAGGAGATCTCAGAGCAGGGTGAGGGACGGTTTATCATGGAACAGATCACTAATTCTGGTGTTTCTCATAATAAACAGAGACTTAAAGAGACCGTAGTACCACAGCTGATATTATAATTAAGCAGTTTGAGATGAAGGCTAAGTCGCAAAGAATTGACAAAACTTCTCAACATTCAGCTAGTAAATGTAGAACCATTAATCCAACCAACCATGCAACCATTAATCGATTAGTTGATCTACAGAAAATTCATTGGCAGCTATTCTAACAATCAAATAATTGTTTAAGCAATTTTCAAGCAAAAACAAACACTTTCTGAGTGAAGTCTCTTCAGTGTAAGAATTTGCTTGTTTTCTATTTTTTCAATTATACAAAATAATTTTTTTTTATGTTCCTTCATCCTTAAAATGTGTTTTTTGAGTAATTGAATAAATAAATGAGACATGATAGGTGGATCAGACATCAGATCCAAAGCAGATTTTTCTGACTGTTTTTCCCCACAGCCACAGACCTCATTAACAACCTGCTGCAGGTGAAGATGAGGAAGCGCTACAGCGTGGACAAGTCACTGAGCCACCCCTGGCTGCAGGTAACCAAATTGCTTCTCACTGACTTCACACACCTCAGGGAGCTCTGCAGCAGGACAGGAGAGGTGTTAAAGCAAAGGGATGGCATTCTTCCAGCTTTAAGAAAAGTATACCTTTTTAAAAACTGTCCATTGTGAGTCTGAGTACTCTTTTAAAGTTTGGGGAAAAAAACATCTGTAGTTGTCCTAAGAGATTTGCTGCTTCATCAAGACTGTGTGGGTGGGACTGGCTCATATTTGTGTGTCATCACATTGTAATTCAATGAAGAATAGACAAATCCAAAAAGCTGATTGGGAAAATGTGTTTACAGGGACTTTAAAGGAATACTTCACCCCCCAATAACCACTTGTGTATCAATTACTCTCCCTGTGTTATGTTGAATTGATGAAGAAAACTTTATTTTTATCTCGTGCCTCCGGTGAACGAAGAATCCACAACTAGAGAAAATCCACAATAATCTGGTAAAACAACAAAGGCGCACAGTAACACCTACAAACTACCAGTCGAGGCAGTGGTAGACCAGCAGCTCTTTTTACCTTGCCTAGTGGCCCCTGGAGAGTCTGGATTTGAAGAGCCCCAGTTGTCTATGACTTCAATTCACCAAGAATTTTCTCACTTTCTGGATTCTCCGTTCAACAGAGTAATGTGAGACAAAAAAGTTTTCCTTGCAGATTCAACTCCGGACTCCAGCGTACTGATATACATCATCATTTTGGGAGTGAAGTATTTCTTTACTACTGGTCCCTGTGTTTGAATGTTGTTGTTCATGTCCTCTTGCAGGATTACCAGACCTGGCTGGACCTCAGGGAGTTCGAGACGCAGCGAGGCGAGCGCTACATCACCCACGAGAGCGATGACGCCCGCTGGGAGGAATACGCTGACGAGAGAGGCCTGCACTGTCCCAAACACTTCATCATGTCGCCCAACCTGGACGACATGGATGAGGATCCCTAGTGGCCCCCGGAGAGTAAAACACTTCCTACGAGGAAGCAGCAGATCTGAGGAGTCCCACAGCGGTCAACAGAGTCCATGGAAACTGTCACCACGGAGGCCGTGTGGTGTGTTCGTGGACAGCCAGGAGGCGACGGTCAGGCAGCTGTGTGACGACACTGATGATAATTCAGGTCCAGAGAATTTTACTTTTAACACATTTTCCTATTTCAGTGCGTTTATCTGCAAGCCATAACAAACTGTGAGCCAAAATCTGGAGGGATTTTTCTCCCAGAATTCAACATTCAATAAAACGTCTGTACTGCCAGCCAAGCCGCAGAAGGGCTACCTAAAAAAGAAAATCCAGAGCCTTTATAAAGTTTTTCAGTTAAATTAGCATATTTTTATGACGTTGCTATTACATTTTAGATCTCATAAAGCTGTGTAGAGTTTCTATGTGACGCTAACTCAGAAGAAACAAACGTCTTGATCTGACTGTAATGTTTTGGTTGTTCCTTGTTGGGATGTCTTTGCACTATTGGGAAACTCTTTTAAAAGGAGAATTTCACTGATAGGAACTTTTGGTTTGTTTATCTGCAAAAGCATACTCCTTCCTAATCTGTTACACTCATCACACACCAGAGAACTACATTAGTAGATGAATAAAAACTGTATTCTTAGTGGGACAATCAAGTTTTGTCATGAAAGTGGTGTAGGGAGGGTTTGTCGTGTGTTTGGTGGCCTTCTGAGGACATCTCAGGCTCAGCTTGTCAGGCTCAGCTCTTTGAATGCTGATGTTACGCAACAGAATATTAGCATACAGTTAGCATGTTAACTATTAAATATTAGTGGGATTCATTTTCATTGTTGTGGTCATTCAGAGTACAGATCAAGCTAACTGGAGGTTGGGGAACTGATACAATTGCCACGCTAATTTTAGCATGCTAACGTGCAAAATTTCAATATATTAAAGCAGTGGCTCCCAACTGGTCCAGCCATGGGGTCCAGATTTCTCCTTAGTCATTGTTCAAGGTCCACACAGATTAATAATATTCAACGTCATAATTGCGTTTGGCCATTTAGTCGAGCTAGTTTGCTGTCTCTGTCAAGTAGGTGTCTGTTAGTACTCACTCTACAGCAGGAAACAGCACTTCAAAATGAAAGCTTTGTGCCAGAAATTCACTGTACTTCAAAATAAAGTGTGATTTTTACGAACTTGAAACGTTCCGAGTTATTAGCCGTCCATTCAGAATGGACCCATGACCTGCTTTTGGACCATGACCCACCATTTTGGAACCACTGTGTTAACGGACAATTCGGGTGTTTTATGTAGTGCTAACTTTGCATTTGCCATCGCCAATGTGGAGATTTGGAAGCCACAATAATCTGACTAATACAAACAAAGGGTATTGGGGGAACTAGTATTAGTCTTTCTAACCATCTCAACAAAACTTCAATCATACATAAAATATTTTAAATTTTACTTGTTTCCGAGTCTCAGACAGAAGCCACCTAGCTAGCTAGCTGCAAACTTCTCAAACAATTTGCCAGCTAACCTAACTCACAAAGTGATGGTATCATGGTAAAATACTCAATGTTTGCCATTTACTTGTTAACCAGGTAGAATAATATAACATTTAGCATTTTGGCTTGTTAGCATGCTCACTAAACCCTGTTAAAAATTGTGGTAAGTTGGTATTCATCATTAGTTTCAGAGATGTTTATTAAGTGATGAGATTTGACTCTATTTCAAACAGGAGTGTTTAGACTAAGAACTCAGGAACTCTGTTAACATTATCAAGTTTATTCTACAAGCATACTTTTGCAGATAAACAAATTTTAGAGTTATTTTCAGAGTGATTCTCTCTGAAACTTTTTGGAAGATGACAGGCTGAGAATCGAGCTGCTATTGTCTTTCTTTGTCTTTCTGTGGAAACCTGCCTGAGAAACTGAACTGTAGTGATCCTGTTAGTGATCCCGAATCTACTCCAGCCTGAGAATTTATTTCACACGTTTTATATTTTTGCAAGAAATGTTTGTCATGTGAATCATTATGATGGGAAAAATATTAAAGCTGTATGGTTTACTCTGCAAACATTTTATTTACAATCCTTGTTATACAGCTGGTGACCTTGAGTAGCATTTAGAGGGCTTTATGGCAGGATGGTGGAAGGAGCACTGTTCAAATCTTATTAACTTTTTTTGGTTTCAGCTCCTTTTTTACCTTGCAGAATATTCTGGCTAATAATTTATAATGTTCAATAAACAAAGAACATTTAGATATCATGATGTGACACTGGGATTTGATAGATAATGTGTTTTTATCCTGTAAACTGAGGCAAAAAGTTTGATAAATGCTGATCAATTTGTGTCTAATCCCAAACTTAAATCAGATGTGAAGGCCTAATCCAAACCACAGTGGTAGTTTTATGGCAAGAAACCTTAGTTGGAGGCATTTTAATTATAAAATCCTCTATTTTTTTTCCAAATGTACGACAAGTCAGACTCATCACCAAAACAAAAAAAAAAAAAACAAAAAAACAGCCCCTCCTGAATGAGAGGAAAAGCTGATAACGATCCGCAGCAGGATGTTTGGAAACGATCATTTAATTACCAATCCTGAACCTGATCGCCTCGCTCCACCGCTCCTCTGCAGGGACGGCTGCTTGTTTTGGCAGCAGTGACCCCCCACATGTGTAACTGAATCTTTTAATTGCTACTGGAGGAGCTGGTTGTGAATGGCTCCTGCACAACTGTGAGCTCAGCTAACTGCTTCAAGATGTGGACGGAGGCAGGCGGCAGAGCAGCAAGGAGGGAAAAAGATCCTCCTGCTGCAAGAATGACCTCTGACCTTTAACAGTGTTACAGTTTTCTCTCAGTATCAGGTGAGGATAGGCCATGTAGGAACCAAACTGCAGAATTTGGAAAATAAGATGGCCTTTTCAAGTTGATAGGAAATGGTATATCGTTTTCAAAAAATAAATGCAAATAAAATGCTGAAATTCTTTATTTTTCTTACATTAATAAATCAAAATGTTTTCACAGTTAACTTAAAGAAAAACTCACTTCATGGTGGATTTGGTAGAGTAGAGTACAGCAAGTTTCTTTTCAGTCTTTTTAATATCAGCTGTAAATCGTCCCATGATCCTCTAAAACATCCCTTAATGTCTGAGCTCCAAAACTTCGGATCATTTCCAGCCTTCTCCGCCCTGCTGATGAAAGTCTCTGGACCGTTGAAGACCATCAGCAGAAGCTGAGTTCAGTGAATCCGGCCACAGGAAGCGGCGCCGGGCTCTTCTTCTCCAGCTTCAGCCCCACTTGCTTTTTTGGTTCGGCCAGCCGGCTGTGGTGCAGCAGGCTGAAGAAAAGGAAGCGCTCACCCATCTTGGCGGGGTTGGTCAGCATGTCGTAGCTGCTGATCAGCTGCTTCCTGGTGGACGCATCGCTGCAGTTCCTCAGCAGAACCTGCAGAGAACCACAGGGTTAAAAACTCTGAAGGTCTTTGAGTTCCTGAACTCTGAGGATCAGATCCCTGGCAGGAGTTTCTGGTATCCAGAGCTCCTTTCTTGTACACTACAGAATATATTGATATTAGTGTCATTGCAGTTCTGCTATTCAGTATTTTTTATGTCTGTATCACTACATATGTGGTTTCTTAAATAAGAAATATCAAAGATATGTTTGAGGAAAGTTACAAAAAGGTGTCTTTGTTACAAATTTTACTCAACACCTGTAAAATGTCTCGCTCCAGTTCTTTAATAACTTAAATTTAATGGATTATCTATCAAAAATGTTTATGTGTGCTGGAATGCTGTTAATTTAATTTGTTTTAAAACTCTAAAATACGAACATCACAATCAGCCTCAAAATCCAGTTGGGTCTTTGAATTAAACGACACAAACAGGTAGTAGATATTAAAATATGATATAAAGACGCACTGCTGGTTTTGTATCCTAGTATTTGTACCCAAATATACTCCAATAGATAATTAATAAATTAATATTTAATAGTTGTGATCAGTGTCTTATATAAATAAATTACACTGATCACTGTCACCACCATTATACCCTCTGTTATCAGTGATGAAACCCAGCTAAGCTTTTGAAAAGACTCGCCTGCATTCGGGAGTCGATGCCCATGTTTTTCAGGAACAGCCTCTGAGTGACGGGTCCCAGACAGGCCACGCCCCCTCCGGCCATCTTCCGCAGGTAGCTAAAGTCCACATCGGCAGTGAGGTCGGCCGAGCCGGGGGAGGACAGGACATCATGGAGCTGGTGACCTTTAAAACCCTGAGGAATATTAAAAAAGAGGGTTAAACAGTTTCCAGTCAGTCTGCTGTTTGCAGAAAGTCAGAAGTCCTGCTGTGTGATTAAAGCTCCGTCACATGACCGTAACAAACTCATGTTGTTATATTTAGCATCAAGGATTCTGCACGGGGCATCAGTAGCGTAGTGGATAGCCGGCGCCCCATGTACACAGGCGATGCCTCGCTGCAGGGGCTGCAGGATCGAGTCCAGCTTGCAACCATTTGCTGCATGTCACCCCCCACTCTCTCTCTCACCCTGTTTAACTTTGTCCTGTACATTAAAGGCAAAAGCCTTTAAAAGTCTTTAAAAAAAATGCAGAAAATGCTGATTGTCCATATTTTTAGTGGTACCGACGTGACAATTCAGAATTGATTCAGAATTAAATTAAATCGATGTGAAAATTGAGAAAATGTAAGTGTCAGAGGCAGAGGAGGAAGAGGAGCGGCGACCCTGGTTTCCTCTCTGCCTGCAGCAGATGGACTTCACTGCTTCCTACATCTGTTTCCTTTAACTATAACTGAAGAGAGGACCGGACAAAGTGTCCCAGCTGTCCAAAAATGTCCTCATTACTTTAAGGTCTAAATCTCAATTTGGTCCGCACAAACACCAAAGAATTTCGAGAGCACAAAAGCTATCAGATCCACAAAGCAGATTTCAGGTAGAATGGCTAAAAACATTTTAAGATATCCAAAAATATTATTTCATCAGTACTCAATGATTACTTTTACATTGGTACTGTCAATTTATTCACACATTTTACAGCTACAGTTCTGTAGGCAGATTTTAATTACCTTTGGACAGAGCCAGGCTAGCTGTTTGCCTGTTTTCCAGTCATTATGCTAAGCTAAGCTAACCGGCTGCTGGCTGTAGCTCTATATTTACTGTACAAACATGACAGTTGTATCATTCTTCTCATCTAACTCTCTGCCAGAAAACACAATGTTAAGCACAATTTTAAAGCTATACTCTCTGTGGCCACTTTATTAGGTACACCTGTACTGTCTAATACAATCCAAAACAACCATTAAGCCAGTTTCATGATGCCTATAATGTTCAGCTTTTGTTGACACTGTATGTTTATTACTGAGGTTATAGTTAGTGATGGTTTTGTTCTGGACTAGATTACATTCAGAGATGCTTTCCTCATGTATAGAAGGACAAAAGGACAAAAATTTAGAACCTCTCTTTAATAAGTGTTATATATAATCTCTCAATATTTTATCACCTTTAAATTTACACATTGCAACAGTTTCATCACCAAAGCTGAACATTATGAGCTCCTCAAAGATTGCTGTTATGGCAGAGTTGTGTTTTTGAAATGTATTATGTTGTACAGTTGTTACTATTAAAGTGGCCACTGGGTGTAAAAGTGTCGTCTCACTCTGAATGTGTCGGTCTTGGTTCCGTCGTGGCCATAGTCAGCGATCAGCGCCGCGCCACCGTCATTTTCGATCCTCCGGGCCAGCTGCTGGACAAAGACTCCGCCCTCCGCACACACCTCCACATGACCTCGCCTTTCATCTGCCTGACACACACACACACACACACACACTGCAGCTTAATCAATAATAAATCACTCCACTCTCAGTTCATCTCTGGTTGAGAATTCAACCCAGTCTGACTGTGGTCAGAGGGTAAACACACAGTCAGGTTTACAACTTTTTAAATTTGACTGAAAAAATTCAAATCATACATTAATTGATTGAGTAATAAATCGTTTAAGTCATTTATCAATCAAAAATGTCAAACTGTTTGTGGTTCTAGAGGATTCGTGAGAATTTTGTGTTTCATCTCATTGTGAACTGAATATCTCCTGGTTTTGGACTGTTGGTTGAGGACATTATCTGGAGCTCGCAGAACTTCTGACAGGCATTTTTTACCATTTCATTATCATTAATTATGAAAATAATTGTTAGCTGGAGCCTCAATTAGAGAAGTAACACCACATTGATTGAAATGTTAGATGACTGTCTTTTTATATAAAATGTAATGTCCTGTTCATTCGAGCATTTCTTTTAGTATTTATAGAGAGTTGTAATTTTCAATTGCATCATGGGTGATGTAGGCACCAGGTTTTGACAAGGAAAAAGAATTTGTCAAATACATCAAGACGGCATCTCTGCTTCTGCTGCATCAAATTTGATCCCTTTGGTTTCAAACTCTCCGTCGTGAGTCCAAGAATATTGTAGGACTACAATGCTGAATCTGTCTAGAATCTTTTAACCTGCTTGCTTTGCTGTCTTCTGATTTGTTCATGATTTCCTACAAGTCCCAGCATACCTCTCAAACAACCACAAGACGGTTTTAAGTTGTTGCGTTCGGTTGTCAGTTAGAAAATAATAAGACCAAATTAGAACCATCTCGTCCAATGTTTAAAACTCAAACTTGTCCTGTAGCTGCAGTGCATTCTGGTCTATTTCTGCTTTCTGGGTCTCTTCTTCTTTGGTGATTCCTCCCTGTATGACTTTCAAATGCTCATACACTGATGCCTCTTTGGATGTAGAAACCAGCTACAACAGCCCATTGTTTAAATTCTAAAACGCAGACAACCTCAATAAGAAATGTATCCTCCTTTTCTAAGGTTTCACAGTTTGCATCTGGTTTGATGATATGGAGGCTGAACTCTCAAACTGGATTTAAGAGCAGGTTCCTCGTCCAAACAGACTGATGATGATGATGTCAGACCTCTGGCAGGAAGTTCAAAGTGTTTGAAGTGACCCAGAGAGGCCAAATCAAACAGGCTGCGAATGTATAGATGGTTTGAATGTGGGCAGTAAAAACCAGATGGAGGCTGTAAAACAAACCTCTAAGAGTTTATCTGAGGAGTTCATTTCCACAGTGTTTAAAAGATTAAAGACGTTCTGCGTTCTTGACTTCAAAGTTAAAATTACCCAGCTCTATAAGAGTTTTAAAGTTGAGTTAAACTTCTTGAGCTTCCAAAAGTCTTCATATCTGTTTCTAGTTTTGTTTTTATGAGCGAGAGTACCCGATTACATGTTCAGATTTCTGTTTTTGTGAGCCCTTTAAAGACTTCTCTTCCATGTCAACTAAAAAAAAAAATTCTGTTTGAGATTCATTCTCTCAGGTGCGTACCTCTACGAGCGTGGACGAGGCCAGAGTAGGAGACGGCACCACGACAAACCTCAGCTGGCCCGGCTTCTCTGGGTCGATGTCCACCATCACTTCCCTCCAGCCTTTCTTCGTCCTCTACACAAAACAAACACTTTAACACTCACATACACCTGAGAGAGTTTTTCGTACAGTATAAGGGCGCTGCAGGGTTCAACATGTCAGGGATTGGACTTTTTTTTTTCTCACTTTGGTGCCATCTGGTGGCAGGATAATATAATGACAGTGTCACTACAACACATTTTTTCTACAGATCTATACCAATAAAAAATGCTGTGACCACATTTGGATCTCCAGGGTACACACGGCGGCTTTAAAACATACCTGAAATTTGTGGATCGGCAGAGCGTCAAAGAACTCATGAGCGAGAAAGATGCTGAATCCTGAGAGAAGACGAGCAAAACTTAGCCTGATACAAATAACCACATGACAAAAGCTTTTTTAAGTTGGCAAATACCTTTTTATGACCTTACATGGTATGGAGAAAAATATGTCAAACCACCTTGTGGAAAGCAAGTACTATCACTGTTTGTTTTGCTGTACCTGAGGGGACGTCCTCTAAGCGGCGGTACCAGGACACCGGCAGCCCTGCAGCAGTTTCCCCATGGCGGTACACAGGCTCATCTTTGGCGTCTGCCTCTTGGCTGTGGTTTCCTGTCAGAGTCTGGGCTTGAATACGACTTAGAGCCGGACTCACCTCGACCAGGTGGAGTGACACCGAGGCTCCACCCAGCACGGACTGCAACTGACTGAACACCTGAAAAGAAACACAGACAGTAATATGACTACTTCATTATACAGGTGAACACATGATGGTTATGTATTATGTTTAAACAAGTGCCCTCCAGCATCAGTGCGGACGTCTAAAGGTCTGTGTTAAACATTAAAAGATAACACATAAAAAAGAACAAATTAATGACAAAAATTTCACATCTACAATTAATACCACAAATATATCAACGAGAGGGAAATACATATTAGGTGCACTTTTTGATTTTCATCTCTTACAAATTTGTGTTTAATTTACCAATTACCGGATATCTAAAATGTAATTGCTCTCTGTATCACAAACACACTTACACACACACTGGTATTTGTGGGGACCCTTGCTGACATAATACATTATGGGGCCCCTCACCTTAACCTTTACCTAAACCTAAATCTAAATCCAACTTAACTCTTAAATCAGCTCTTAAGATAAGGGTTAGACAGCCCTTTGAGGAAGTGGAGACTGGATAAAATGTCCTCACTAAGTCATAAAGTCCTCACAAAGGTAGATGTCCAAAACATACACACGGTAATAGCTCCCTCTGCTGGGGGCAAAATAAACATTTCTTCACAGCAGCAAACCACTAACTAAAGGATCGGAAATACGTGTATTTAATTTTAGGCCAAGAGTTAGATGAGAAGATCAACACCACTTTTATGTTTGTAAGGTAAAATTAAAAGGGGTCAGTTAGCTTAGCCTAGCTTAGCATAATGAATTAAAAGAGAGGGTCCAAAGTTGACAATCTACCAGCACCTCTTAAGCTCACTAATTATCATGTTATATCTTTACACACACACTCTTACACACATTGGGATTTGCAAGGATCCTCACTGACATAATACTGTACATTAACAAGCCCCTCACCTTAACCCAAACGTAACTCTTAAACCAGGTCCTAAGCTAAGAGTCAAACAGCCCTTTGAAGAAGTGAGGACCAGATAAAACATCCCTAAATTTAGAAGTCCTCACAACGGTAAATGTACAAGAACATACACACACAGAGTAAAAGCCCCCTCTTCACTTTATTGCCAAGAGTTAAATGAGAAGACTGACACCACTTTCATGTCTGTACAGTAAATATGAAGCTACAGTCCCCAGTCACTTAGCGTAGCTTAGCATAAAGAATGGAAAAAGACAGTTCAAAGATAACTAAATCCACCTACCAGTACCTCTAAAGTTCACTAATTAACATGTTACATCTCCTTTGTTTAATCTGTACCAAAATTGATTAAATGGGGGTCCTGAACTATTTCTTGGTCAGGAGCAGTCACTTCCTGGGGTTTGCATTCAACTTCTAATGTATTTATAAACGTCTCCTCCTGCCACAGTGCCTAATAATGTTCTTACTCTGAGGACGTCGCTGGCCAATGATCCTTTTCCAGGTCCGAGCTCAACCAGCTGCAGATGTTTGGGTCGACCTGCTCCCATCCACTCACTGATGATCCACACGCCGAGCAGCTGGAAGACACGACAACACATGTTCAAACTTTTAAAGCAGCATGAGGAGATACTGTCACAGGTTTTCTTATCTAACTGAGAAGAAATGTGCTGTTTCCTATTGGCTTTCCTGCTAATAGATTTTTTAAAAAGTTTCATTTTGGGGGATTTTTCAAGATGGAGTGGGCTAAAATAGACAAAATTAGGGCTGAAATTGTTATATGATTAACCAAGGGGCAAGTGGATACATTAAGTGAAATAAAACATCTTATCTTAAATTAACTCTTGAAATATACTGACAGATTTGATCTAACTGTGTGTCTGAGTGTGGGTGAGTTGTTTTTTGGGGGTTTTTTTAAGGTGGAATTTTCACAGCCTTACCTCTCCGAAAATCTGACTGATTTCTGGTGATGTTATGAAATCTCCATCAGGTCCCAGCATGTTGTTCCTCACATAATAACCCTGAAATAAAGAACTAATCAGTCTGAATGAAGGATGCTGAGAGGCAGCAGAGGGTGATAAATTATTTCAGGTTTTAAAAAGGTAAATATGAAGAAATGCATGCTAGGGCAAAGCAGGCATCTTTGGATTCACAGTTCAATGATTCTGATGCAAAACAGTTAGATTATGCTGCTTAAATATTAAACAACCAGACTCCTTCAGTGTTATTGTTAAAGACTGAGATCAATACGCCGTTTTTAGAAGCTCCATAAAGCATAATGTTTAATATTAATTAAGGATAGACCGATACATCGGCCGGCCGATATATCGGGCCGATATTTGAGTTTTTTACTTGTATCGGCATCGGCCAATACGCGCGTGGGTTCGCGGATTTATTTTTCCCTGGCACTTTTTTTTCATTTGAAAGTATGTGGTTAAGTTGAACAAAGCTGTTGAATCCTACTGTGTACAGTAGTTGTTGTTTTATTTATGCTTCAGCTTAAATATTTGTTTATTTTATAAAGACATTACTGGAAGATTTAAGAGCACTGAACTCTTTTTTTTATTTGAATGTATAATAATAATAATAATAATAATATTCTACCTGTTCTACCTCAACTTTCCATCTTATTTTAGTATTTTTTACTGTTCAATAAATGTTTCTTATTTTAAACTTGAGACCTGTAATATTTGTTATCATTGTGTCATTTTTTTTTTATGTAAATTGAGGGAGCAAAAGCAGTATCAGCCCCAAATATCGGCTCAAGAAAATCAGCAGTCCATAATCGGTCATCGGCTAAGGGTGATGGAAAAAAATCGGTATCGGCATCGGCCCTAAAAAATCCATATCGGTCTATCCCTAATATTAATTAATCAGACAACAACTGTAACAAGATAGCACTGACTGTATTGCCAAACCCAATGAGAATCAACAGTCACTTGTCCTGAATCGACTGGTCAATTAATGTGGAAATAGACAAGTTGATTTCACAGTGTAATGGCTATAGAATAAGGATGCCATCAATGTTTAGATTGGTTCCCATTAGCCTTGCTTTCATTACACCATTCTGTCTGACACTGGGTACGCTCTCCCTGGCTCAAGTTGTGGTACAAAGGAAATGCATCAACCATTACACATCCAAAATATGAAGAGGATGGTACTTTTGTTTTCCCTGGTAGCTGTCCCCAATTACCAGACAGTGCCAATATAAGTTTTATATTCATAAAAGGTAGTCCATAAAGCACATCACAACAAAAACAATTCAATATCAAACAGGCAGTTTTCTCTAACTGATCCAGGACCTGAAGGTGACTTAAACATCTACGACTGTCACTCACCGTCAATGGGTTGGTGAGCACCTCTCTCATGTACTCCGCCACTGTAATTGGACCTGTGGCTTTTATTTTGGAGGTCAGGTGTCGCAGCATGGAGGGTTGGGGCTTTTCCTCACCTGTTGGCGGGCTGCAGAAGAGTCTGGTCTGAGCTGCTCGCCATCGCACTGTCAAACACAAACATTACAAATATATATTAAATAACAAATATCTTGTTTCTGAATGGGATCTCCAGTAATTTACACACGTAGTGTAAATGTGACTCTGTAAGGTAGTATGGTGTAAGAGCTGTGCCATAACCCAACTGATTTGAATTACACCAATTTACAGTTCAAAGCCTGAAGTTAAAATCTAGTGAGTAAAATTCTGCAAGACAATAATACAACAATAACTCAATAATACCCAAATAAGAGACCAACAAAATAGGCAATGCATGGGAAATAAAACCTCAAGCCATGTCAACGCACACAGTTAATATTAACATACAAATATCACATGACATTTAGGTGTCACAGCATAAACGGTGTATAATAAATAAACTCGCCTGCAGCTGATGGACTGACAGGATGACTGAAGACTCTGCTTATCAACAGCTGTGTTTTAACACCAAAACAAGCCCTCATTCTGCTGGTAATATTAACCTAAATACAACTACGACACTGTTTTATAACATGTGTTACATAACGTTTGGGTTGGTAGCATTATTTGAGAGGAAAACTGTGACTAAAGTGTAACTTGAATCACATGGACCAACTCTCTGCTCTGCTCTATGACAGGATAACAGCTAGCCGGTTAGCATTAGCCGCTTTAGCTACAAGTACATTAACGACGAAATACGGACGTGACCGCGCCCGAGATAAATGTTTTAGTTTCGCGTACAAAAAATAAAAATATACACTTGTTCTTTTGTGTCCGTCTACCGTTTAAATGTGCTTAAAGATTCAAAAGTCCTTGTGCAACAGCGAAATGCTAATGCGCACAGAGTGATGAACGTTAAGCTAGCATCGGTAAAGGAGCTAACATCCGGTTAACCTTTCATAATAAAACACGTTTTGTAGGACAAGTTTGTAGTACCGGATGAAAACTAAATATACCGGTTTTTGTATACTTTTATAGAAAATCTTAGTCAGTTTGGATCTTTGTGTGTACTTCCTTTATTTGTGGGTTACTTCAACTAAACAAAAGACATGAAATATGTATTAATTCCTTAAATATAATTATTGTAAGACAAGACTGCCGAAATATTAAATAAAATATTACATAAAATGTAGATAAAATAGAAATAAAATAAAACAAAATAAAAATAATATAAAATCCATATACACCTTTCACTTAAACAGATATATTGGATGCCCATGATTGTTGCACAAGATAACTGAAATACACACATGGTGTGTAATGTATTTCCTGTAAAGATAAAAATATCACCTATAAAATAAATTATTGCACAGTAAGGAATTGCACTGGCTTGTTAGGGCTTCTACAGGCTTGTACATTATGAATATACATTCATTTTCAATGGTTATTGTGGTGGAGACAGAGACAACAACAGCATTACATGATGTTATGTTGTCTTGTTAAAGAGTCCAACTACTGTCAGAATGAAGGACCTGCAGTAGCGCTCTAACATCCTTCTCTCACCCACCCACTCCATGGAATCAAGAGGACTGTCCCTCTTGATTGCTGGCCCTCCTAAACAGTTTGTTCTCTTCGTACCTCCAGCTCCCCAACAGACCACTGTGTAGGATGTTGCAGATGCAGCCACAGTGTTATAAATGTCCTCAACAGTGTCCTGCACCCTCCAAAGGACCTCAGTCGTCTCTGCAAGTAAAGACAACTTTGGCCTTTTTTGTAGAGGATGTTGTTTGACTAGTCTAGTTTATTGTTGAGGTATTTATACATTCCCACCATCTAAAAATCCAATCCCTGGATGTTCACTGGTGGGGTCTGGGACATCTTCCTGTGGAAGTCTATCACCATCTCCTTTGTCTTGCTGCCTTTGTCTTGCTGCTGTTCAGGGGTTCGTTGCTGAGCTCACACCAGTTGACAAAGTCCTTGACAATCTCACTGTATTTCTGTTTGTTCCCTTCTGATACACATCCACTGATGGCTGTATCATCACAGAACTTCTGGGGGTCACAGATGTCCATTTTATGTCTGACGTCTGATGTTTATAGTGTACAAAAAAGTCATGAAGCCTCACATACTGTGGCCTGTTGGTGAGATAGTTGATGGTCCACGCAGCCAGGCAACAGTCCACTCCTGCTCCTTAGCTTCCTCCTAAGCAGTGCTGGCTGTATTGTATTGAAGGTACTACAAAAGTAAAAACAACATGACCATAACAGTGCTCCCAGTGTTTTCAAGGTGTGAGAGGGATCCGTGCAGGAGGACGATGACTGCGTCATTCACACCTGTGCCTGGTTGATAGACAGACTGCAGGGGGTTAGGCCAGCTTAGGGTTCACCAGGGGTCGGAGGTGGTTTAGTATAATTCTCTCCATTTTCTTCATCTGGTGGAAAGTAATGGCTACTAGCCTGAATTCTCTGGGGTGTACAGTCTCCGGTACTAGAACCGCACAAGAAACTCTCCTGATTAAGGCTCAGATTGAAGATATGCAGAACCACCTCACAGAGCTGGTCTGCACAGTCCTTGAGTAGTCGGGAGCTGATGCCGTCCAGGCCTGTGCCTTTCCTTCTTTCCTTGTCTTGATCTTCCTCAGTTCCTTCCTCACCTGGTCAGCTGTTAGGGAGTCCATATAAATATACATATAATAATATAATACTATATAAATATTCACTGAATAGGTGTTTTTCTCTTTTCCATCGACTAAAATAGAAGCTTGCTCCTCTTCTGTGAATGTACTGTTATTTTGACAATTTCCCTGCCTTCTCTGTTTCATGAAGGCGAGCTTGACATTCGGCGGAAGCGACAAGCTCTCTGGTTGGACAACCATTCGTTACGTCAGGATGAGACGTTAACAGCAGTGGTGTTTTTTTCTTCACAACCGTCGCGTTAAAAAAAACAAAGAAAAACGACAGTAAGTTTCATGCGAATATTCACGTTAAAACATAATTAATAAAAAAAATAACGGACAGAAAATAAGTACATTTTTTTTCAATTCCGGAAACACTGATTGACGTTGTATACCACATCCGGGTCACGTTCTCCTCATGCTGTAGCAAGCATGGCGGCGAAAAACAAGCACCGTAAAAACGCTAAAGCGACCAAAAAAGTGACATTTCAGCCCGCAGACAACGACATGGAGGCTGAAAACGGCGGCGGGGAAGAAGATGGAGATCCAGCAGCTGATGAAGGTGAAGACAGAGGGAAGAAAGAGGAGGAAGAGCTCAGTTTGGACGAGGTTTTGAGACTGGGAGGAACACAGGTGAGTTTAGAAGATAAAACCTCATGACAGGCAGAACTGCTGCAGGTTGAACTTACTTGTTATTAACAATACATTTACTCAAGTGCTGTACATATGTAGGCTACAAATTTGAGTATTTTTCTGTCATGCCACTTGCTGCTTTAGTCTGCTACATTTCAGTGGTCAATATTTCATTCCACTACATTTATCTAATAACTTGAGTGACTTTACAAATTAAGATTTTTTTTTTGTTATAAGTTAAACTAACTGTTCATACAAGTACTGCTGAAATGATTATTTGTGTAGTCAGTTCAGTTGACAGAAAATTAATTGAAAGCTATTTGCATGGTGTAAGTCATTTTTCATGTAAAATATTTTATGGCTCTAGCTCCATTAATGTGAGGGGTTTTCCTTTGAATCATTATAATCTAGTAATAATGTTAAGGTTTGGACTGTTAATTTGGCAAAACAATCATAATGAGGGTGTCACTTTGGGCTCTGGATGATTGTGACAGCATTCCTCACTATTTTTACACCCTAAAATCTAAGAAGAATAATAAATTGATCAAGTTCAAATAAGTTAAAAAGGCAAACAAAATATCCAGAAAATTTATCATATTTTTATATCACAATTACCACTTTGCTCAGGTGAAAGATGAGTCGCACGAAATTATTATCAGGGATTACTTTGTAATGGTTGCACCAGACTGATATGTATTATAGTTTATGACAATGTGTTCTTCGTCTTCTCTTGTCCGTCTATAGGCCGATTATGTCATGCTTGCTGGCCTGAACGACTCCAATGAGCTTGTCGACGGAGGAAAAAAAGGAGCGATAGATGACTTGGAGGAGGGCGAGCTGGAGAAATTTATCACCAAACTGGGCATTCGGGCGTATTCCGGACTGCAGGTCATCTCAGATGAGCCTGAGGGCGACGCTGCAGGCACGACTGAGAAGGAAAGTAAAAAAGCCAAAGCAAAGAAAGCTCCATCAGAGGAACAAGCATCCACCGCTCAGCAGAAAGTTAACAACAAGCAGGAAGTGGAGGATAAACAGAAGGCGAAGAAGACAGCCACCGGGAAGAAGGCGAAACAGAACGTGAATGTGTTTGAGTTTCAGCAGCGACAAGTCCTGCTGATCAAACCTGGAGGGAAATGGTTCGACAATGAATACACCACAGAGGGCTCGTCAACACCGCAGGATCCCTCACTGGTGTCCCAGTACAAGGCGCTAGCCCAGCAGCTGTTTGAGGCCGAGGTGTTGCTCTACAAGAGCAAGAAAAACCTGCAGAAAGGAGCCAATTCCAACTGGATGAAGACAGTCGTCTCCGCCGGCGTGTTGGCAGACAGGATGGCGGCCATGACAGTCCTAATCCAAGATGCTCCGGTGCACACTCTGGAGCACGTGGAGAACCTGGTGTCCATGGTGAAGAAGAAGGGTAGCCGACGAATGGGTCTGATGGCTCTGGACACCTTGCGGGAGCTGCTGCTGTCTGACCTGCTGCCAGAGCACAGAAAGCTCCGGACCTTCGCCCAGCACCCATTCGACCAGCTGGAGGAGAAGGCCAGCGGCAACCGTGACGCCCGCGACCGCCGCCTCATTCTCTGGTACTTTGAGCACCACCTGAAGCACCATGTGGCTGAGTTCGTGGCAGCCCTGGACACGGTGGCTCATGACACGGTGGCAGCCACAAAAGCGAAGGCGCTGGCCACCGCCCATGAGATGCTGTGCAACCTCCCAGAGCAGGAGAGGGCGCTGCTCATCCAGGTCGTCAACAAGCTGGGAGACCCTGAGTACAAGACAGCCGCTAAAGCATCGTACCTGCTGGAAACGCTGCTGCACAAACACCCCAACATGAAGGCGATAGTGTGCTGTGAGGTGGAGCGGCTCATGTTCCGGCCCAACATCAGCCCAAAGGCGCAGTACTACGCCGTCTGCTTCCTCAGCCAGGTGATGCTGAGCCACGACGAGGCTGAGCTCGCTGCCATACTCATCACTGTCTACTTCTCATTCTTCCGCGCCTGCGTCAAGAAGAAGGACATAGAGTCCAAAATGCTGAGCGCGCTGCTGTCAGGCGTGAACCGGGCGTATCCTTACGCCGGCACCGGGGACGAGAAGGTGAAGGAGCAGCTGGACACACTGTTCAAAGTGGTTCATCTGGTGAAGTTCAACACAGCGGTGCAGGCGTTAATGCTGCTTTTCCAGGTGATGGACTCCCAGCAGAGCGTCTCGGACCGATACTATGTGGCTCTGTACAGGTAAAACCATCCTCACCTGTCAGGTTGTACTTTTGTGCTTTAATTGTATCATGACTGAATTTTCAGTGGCCATTATATAAAAAAAAATCTTGTCTTAATATGAAAAACAATAAGTGATGTAAATCTAAATGTTGACTTTTCTTCTTCTCTGCAGGAAGTTGCTGGACCCCGGTCTGTCATCGTCCTCCAGACAGAGCATGTTCCTCAACCTGCTGTACAAGTCTCTGAAGGCAGACATTGTGCTGCGGCGCGTCAAAGCCTTCGTGAAGCGGCTGCTGCAGGTCAGCGCCGAGCAGAACGCCAGCTTCTCCTGCGGGGCTCTCTTCCTGGTGTCGGAGGTCATGAAAGCCAAACCGGGCCTCAAGCTCTTGCTTC